TCTATCTATCTATCTATCTATCTATCTATCTATCTATCTATCTATCTGTCTGTCTGTCTGTCTACCTACCTATCTACCTATCTATCATCTATTCATATCTATTTCTATCAATAATTTATCATTTGTCTATCTGTCTGTCTGTCTATCTATCATCTATTTTATTTTCTTATCTCTAATCCATCATCTCTCTCTCATTTATCTATATCTATCCATCCATCCCTGTTGAGGAGAATATCTATTAAAATAAATTATGCATGTGGTCATCCTTCAAACAAAGACGTGTGCATCATGATGTCATCCTGCAAAGGACGTCAATTGTCTTAACTTGCTTACTTTGCAGGATGATGTCCCTCCCCACCCTCCCGGGACCTTCTCCAAGGGGAGACTCAGGGTTGTAACCATTTTTTCCCCTCCATTTCTCACTCCTAGGTAACACCATGACAGTGTCTTACATGTCAGGGCTGACCCTGGGCTCCGTGGTAGCCTACTCTGCCTACAGCCTGACCAGCACTTCTCCAAGTTCCTGCCTCTATCCAGGGAACTACACTGCCTCTGTCCTAGATGGGAACTGACCGGACTATCGGCGGAGCGCTGACATCTAGGCACGCCAGGCAAGATGGCGGGGTAGGGGGAAGGGAGCCTGCAGGCACAGCCCAAGATCTTTCAGGATCCGCATGGAAAAAATCCCAGCCACATCTTTCATCCGATGACCATGTGTACGATATACCCACACCCATCCACGCGTGGGTTTGACCCCATGTGGCTACTCTTCTGCTGCAGGTTGCGTCGTCCCCGTTCTTTCCCAACCAGGTTTGAGCGGGGCATTTTCTCCAGGTGATTGTTACATGTCCTCTACAGCAATGCCCCCCAGTAGCCCTCAAATCCACCGATCAGAGTAGTAGCGTCTTGCCCATGTCATGAAGGAGAATGCTTTTAAGCTGTCTCTTGCTTAGTGTTTGTTGTTTTAGCTGCTCGGGTCTACAGTGGGAGGACACCAGGCTGTCTCCCACGAAAAGGAGAAATCCCAAACTTGGAGACAGGCTGAGTTTGAGGGATGATTTTTGCACGGGGTGATGGGAGTTTTAGGGGGCAAAGGAGAAAAACAGGGTGAAAAACGTTTGGAGGTTGAATCATGGCAACTGGACTAAATTTCCCTTGTTAGCTTGAGGCGTTTCGCCGTTTCTCCAAGCAGCATGATCAATCGGAGCAAGTTATAGGTAGTCTTTGATTCACAACCACAACGGAGCCCCAATGTTCTCCGTTTCGCTAAGTGAGACATTTGCCCAAGTGAATTTTGTCCTGTTCTTACAAGATTTCTTGTAGCAGTTGTTAAGGGAATGGATGCAGTAGTGGAAAACCCGGTCGTTAAGTGAATCTGGCTTCCCCGTTGACTTTCCTTGTCAGAAGGTCGCTAAAAGGGGATCACATAATCCCCGGGATACTGCAACCGGTCGTAAATACGAGTCGGTTGTCAAGCATCCGAATTTTGATCACATGAGCATGGGGCGTTATGGACATAAGTGTGGGAAAACAGTCATAAATTACTTTTTTCAATGACGTTGTAGCTTCAAATAGTCACTAAACAAATTGTTGTCAAGGACTGCCTGTAATGCTATTTTTTCCTTGCTAGAGCTACAACTAACACAACTTCCATGCCAAGTCCGACCAGGCTTGTTAGATTAAAATCCAGACTGCAAATGGAAATTCTTGTTTTTTGCAGGGAAAAAACCCAAAAGCTGGTATGTGACTTTTCCTGCAATAATACTCCACTCTAATATTTAAAATACAACCTGTTTTAATTGCTCTCCCATTTAAAAAGAGAAAGGGAGACCTCCTGCATACATAGCACCACAGGAGAGGATGCTAATCTCTCTTTAAAAAGTTTGTCCATGGGACATTCACGGATGAGATTCTATGTTATATCTCATAAAATATGTTGAAAAAGCAGCAGCTATGTTGTGTCGGCTGACTTAGAAGCTAAGAGCCATGTTGTATGAAACCAAAGACCAGAAACCATGTTAAGGGCGTTCTTGCCATATATTTGTGGTTTGTTTCCCATTTCTGTATTGTCCACGTAACTGGAGCAGTTGAATTCTACAGCACAGACAATAGGGTTGCTCGTTTTACATTTTTGCAACTGTTTTTTTTAAGTTGGGTTGTCCCTACAGCCATTTCAAACCAAATCAGCTTGCCTTAAGACCATGAAAGATCTTTGATGGAGCATGTTGCTTTGAATCTCCCCTAACTAGATAATCCCACCCAGGTCCAAATGCATTTGCGGAAGAGAATATTTGTAGCTCGAGGTTGGGCTCCTTGGGGCTCACTATTCAGCGGTGTCCCTCCCACTTACACCTGGGCTGAAATGTTCTGCTCAAATTCCTCCCTGAAGGACTAGAAATGAAAGAGGGACAAGAGCAACCCTTTGCCCAGCTTTCTACAGTTTGTGCAGCAACTAACACACCCTCTCTGGCACCAACATCACTATCATCTCTCCACAGTGGTGGGTTTCCAATTTTTTTTCCTACCAGTTCTGAGAGCATGCTTTGCACATGCGCGCAGAGGGCTCAAAGACCACCCTTTGTATCAGCGCTGTTGAGCTGTACTCAGGGGTGGTATTCTACCAGGTTGGCCCGGTTCTGCCGAGCCGGTAGCGGCAATGAGTGGAGCAGTGGAAACCGAACCAGGTTTCTCCACTGCTCTGCCGTTGGGCCCACCTGTCCGCCCGGGCTCCCAAACTCACCTTTATCCTCTGCTTTTGAAGCGCGGCTGCTATGCACGGCACCGCAGAGTGCTGCGCGGCAGCTGTTGAAGCAACCGGGAAAGTGCAGGCTTGCAGGAGGTGAATTGGAATGCCTCTGTGCCTGCGCAAGGTGCGCGTTTGGTGCAGGCATGCACACAAAAGTGTGTGCATGAGCACAAGGCATGCCCACCAAGCCACAACCCACTGAACCGGTGGTAAAATCTTTTGAATCTCACCCCTGGCTGTGCTGTTTTTTAGCTCAGCTGAGGCACGGCCATCTGCTCTGCCACACAAATCAGTGGAATTAAAAAAAAAAACAAGGGAATAGAGGAGAGGTAAAGGCAGGGGTGGGTGGGCAGGGCCAGCCAGAGGTGGCATTTGCCGGTTCTCCGAACTACTCAAAGTTTTCGCTACCGGTATGCCCAAACCGGTGCGAACCGGCTGAACACCACCTGTTTCTCCACCAGGTTGGCTTTGGGGCAGAAGACCACAGAAGCCGAGAAATCACAGTTCTCCTGAGATCAAGGTTTTACCTAAAGATCTGGAGAGGCGGTGGACAACCCATTCTAAGGGGTAGAATTGAAAGTTTCGTAAAATAAGGATATTCCAGGGTTGCAAAGTGGCTTATTTGCAGCAATTTGTTTTGTGACCCTTTTTTTGGGTGGACGCAAAGGCTGCAAGAGTGTCTCTCTTCCCAAAGTCTGAACTGAGTTTATGTAGGTAGGATTTAAAATTAGCAACTGGGGCGCAAAAGTCACAGGTTGCCCCCTTCCAGTCAAATTTCTGGTCTCTAGATAAATGTGTGTGGCCTCTGATGAGCACAGCATACAAAAATACTGCCAAATAGCAACCCATCTGTTTGGAGATTTTTGTAGCCCTGCAAGAACCACGTGTCCATCTGCTACCTTCAGCCAAGTAACCAGGTTTTGCTCCGCGTGGGTGCTTTATCTGCCTTGTATCATTTGCCAAACCCCTTGCTATGAAATGGTTTAGGAAACGTTGCAAATCCTGAACTTTGGGGTTTTTTTTATTCGCACCAAACATTCAGCCAATATCTCTGGTGGATGCGTGAGAAGATGGCCGTTGCAGATTGCAGAACCTGCAAAAATTCATCTCGGGAAAGAAATCACGGTTTGCTACTCGAGATGAAGACCGCTAAACCTAAATTTTGGGCTCAGTCCAAAAATGCTAGAAACAGGGAATTAAAAGCAGGATTTGCGAGAATTTGTCTGCGGGATAATCATTCCTTCAAATCATTCCTTCAGAAACCATGGTTAAAATTAAGCCTGGCTTAGCGTTCTGTGTGAATGGCTGCCAGTGCTCAAACCTTGTTTTTATGTGTGTGGACATAAACATGCACATAAAAATAAGGTTGATCTATGTATCCACTTGCCAGCCATTCTTCCAGGATCATCGTAATAAAAATCCAATTAAAAAAAAAAAAATCTAATCCCAGGTTTGATCTTTCCACGCATGCAGACCTCTTTAAAACAGAGGCATGCCCAAAGAGACCATTCAGGAGAAATTCCTTCACAATTAAAACAATTAATCAGTGGAACAACTTCCCTCCAGAAGTTGTGGATGCTCTATCACTGGAAGCTTTCAAGAACAGACTGGACAATTGTTTCTCTGAAATGCTATAGGGCAGTGGTGGCTTTTGGGGTTCCTGTGCCAAAAATTGGGTGTGATCTTGCGTGCTCGCGTGCCAGCACCCAGAAGGCAATGAACCCCCCCATCCCCTGTGCATGCGTGCACAATCCCCACCCCCCACCCCCATGCTGCCTCCTTACCTGCACCTCACAGCTGATTTTTGGGCAATTTGAGGCCTTTTTCAGCCTCCTAGAGGCTTGAAAAAAGCCTATGCAGGACGAATAATAGGCCCCTTTCGTCACTTCCGGTATTATAGGAAGTGATGAAATGGGCCTATTATTCGGCCTGCAAAGGCTTTTTTTTCAAGCCTCTGAGAGGCTGAAAAAGGCCTCAAATTGCCCAAAAATCAGCCATGAGGCACGCACATGCACAGTGAGGTAAGTGCCTGTAGCTCGTGTCGACACAAATGGCTATGCATGCCAACTGTAGCACGCGTGCCATAGGTTTGCCATCACGGCTATGGGGTTTCCTGCCTGAGGAAGAGGGTTGGACTAGAAGACCTCCAAGGTCCCTCCCAACTCTGTTATTCTGTTATTTCATTTCAAGCCCTTTGAGATCAAGGGTATCCCTTCTGGAAAGGCTCCAGAGAGAACATCCCAAGGTGGGCAGCCAAGAAACTCAGCACACACACACACATTTAAGGCGACAAAGGCAAAAAGAAAACAGAAAAATCCCACCGCTTCATTTTTTTTTTTCAAGATTTCTTTTCTCTCTCTCTCTTTTTTTTTATGAAAAAGAATCACACATCATACAGCAACGAACAGAATGCAAAAAAAAAAGGGAGGGAAACAAATGAAAACATTTAAAAAAAAACAACAAACAAACAAACCACAAAACAGGGAAGGAGGGCAGGAGGAAAAGGACCCCAAAAAAACAAAACAAAAACAAAGCAGAAACATGTGGCTCCATTCCTCTCTCGATTGTCTGCAAAAATCCTTGTGTTCCATAGAAGGCAGTGGGCAGTTAAGTGCTTTCTATTTTAACATTCATGTCTCATTGCTTTTCTCCTTCTCTCGAGAAGTTCGCGTCCTACGATACAGTCCGCTGTTTTGTAAGCAATGTCTGGCTCTCCTATTCCCCTGTGTTCGCTCGTTCGTTCTTTTTCTCTTTTCTCGCTCTCTCTTTGTTTCTACAGTCAACAATTCCAACCGGAAATAAAAAATAAAAGAGTCTCAATGTCGGACCGTGTTTTTGCTTTTATACTTTCCCATAATTTTTTTTTCACAGTTTTTTTTCTTTAAAAAGTTTATATATTTATATATATTTATATATTTATACTTTATATTTATAATTAAAAAGGTAAATCCATTTTTTTGCTTTTTTTTTGTTTTTGTTCGTCCTTTCTCTCTTTCTTTCTTGCTCTCTTTGTTTTCCTCCTCCATTTTTGTATTGTCAAAGAGGTGTTTTTTGTTTTGTTTTGTTTACAATATGTTGGAAAAAAGGCTCCCATGAGCCTTTGGATGTATGAAAACTGTACAGGCCCGGCGTTGCTCATTCTAGAAACGTTGTCCACCTAAGGCTGGGAACTGGTGGACTGGAGGAGGCAGCCAAGGCTGGGCAGCACCATGTGGTTCTCAAAAGAGGTCGCGAAAGGATTCCGAGAGAAACATTTATTTTGTACCATCGCAGAAAATAAAAAGAAACATCTGCTCGTGTTAAGTTCAGGTAGAAATCGTCTCCCTGTTGTAGTGCTTGAAAATGGTACATCTGTCCCTGTCACAAACAATTCTGGTGTCTTCTCTTGTAGTGTGTGAGTTTGGCGGGGCTTCTTAAGTGCAAAAACGCTGGCATTGTGATGGTCACCATATTGTCCTCTCTGGCTTTGCATGAGGTCCACATCCAAGCAGTAGGTTCACCTCCAAGGGGGGCTTCTTCATTCATCTCAAAGTAGGCAGGTGGTTAACGCTCCAGGTCTCACCACCTTTGGGGCAGAAGATGGCAGCTCGGTTTCTGGATGGTCGAGATGAGGTCTAGGCAGATGACCCTGCCATGAGACCCAATGGTGTTTCCCCAAGATGACCAGCCCACGGTTCTTACGTGCGTCCGTCAAGTGCTGAGTTTTGGTGATGGTGAGACAGGAGGACGCAAGCTTCAGCATTTTGCTCCAAATGACCATCCAGTAGTCCTCAAGAGCAGGTTGGCCAATATTGAAGGTGTATTTAAAATGTTTCTTGAGGTGGGCATAGCAAGGCCGATGACCTACCTACTTTCTCAAATATAGATCCCCCACAATATTTATGAGCCTCTGATGAGGAGCCGTTTTTTTTTTCCAAGAGGGACCTAGAGTAAATACATTCACTTTACATGAGGGAAGAAGCATGTCCGTTGAGCTCTTATTTAGAGGACAAAGAGTCTCCTTTGTCATTCCAAGGGTTTGGAGAGAAAGGGTTGCAAAAGAGAATAAATGAAATTCGGTGATTGGATTTCTGAACCACCTGCTCTAAGTCCTTGTAACTCAAAAGAAAAGTGAGACAACTGTTCGTCCAGTAACCATCTTATGGGTCAAGGTGGCTTCTACAGTTGCTTCTTCACACCAGTTCTCTGGTAGAACAGTTTTTGGAGATAGAGAAGTGGGTGGGAAAAGAATCCAGCCCACTTCTTGATTGGCATTTGCTCAAACTGTCCCTGAACCAACCATATATTCTTCTACAAGCTGAGCTTTCAGTTGGTGAGGGCAGATAAAACCGGTACCCTGAAGATAAAAAAAAGTGCCGATTTTCCCTCCCCCCCCAAAAAAAATTGGCCTCTTGTAATAACCTATGAATGTTCAATACTCAAAGATCGATGATGGAGGTGCCTGTAGCCCAATACTTTATTGCAAAAGGCTGGAAATAGACTCACTGTCCAAGAATTAATTTTCTTTAAAATCCCAAAGGGTTAATTCCTTTTCAGGAGCCATAGAATCCAATCCATCGCTCTTGAGTTCATGAAGTTGTTGAGGATGGAGAGAATCTCTTGCAGACTTCTCTCTCTCTCTTTCTCTCTCTCTCTTTAATTTTGGAAACATTGTGACCGAGCACTACACAATCATGCTGTCGTTTTCAACAGGCACATAACTTGCATTCCGTCTGTCGTTCCTCCTCCAAGGGAGGCACAAGGTGCGAGGTGCCTCCCACGGTTTTCTTTCTCAAAAGCTGTTTAGCAAATGATGGGGACTCCATCAGTGTTAAAGATCATTCCCGTGGTGGGCTCGTAAGTCCCTGCTAGGTAGTATAAATCTTCACTATCTTGATACTTCTTCGTCTTCAGCATCTGCTCGTATTGTTCCAAATCAACCACCAGGCATTTGTGCGAGATTGTCTGAACGTCGTTTTCGTCCACATGGGAAGACTGATACAAAGCCCTCTGGATTAGAAAGAGAAGAGGAGAAATGTTAGAGCATCTGCTGAACGTTGTTCTGACCCAAACCCTTTTCCAATAAGACAAATAATAACCAAAGGGAACAGAAACCTTTTAATGAGTCTTACGAATCCCCGGTTAAAAGGCTGCTGCAAACGAATTAACTTTGATAACCACAAGCCTTGCCAAAACTGTACAAGACTGCCAAGAATCACAGATAAGAAATCAAAATCTAGCATTGTTTTTTCTTAAGATGCTACAAGTCCCTTGGTCCTGAATAATTTTGTGATGACCAGAGGCATGGCACAAAAGCAACAAAGTCACAAAAATAGGTAATTCCTCCAACTCATCCTCCAATGTCCAATTATCATTGGCTGGAGAAAAAACTCTCCCAAGAACAGTTTTAGAGGGAAGAAATTCTGTCCATATTTACATATAAATTATAAATAAAAACCAACACAAACCACACTGCAGCAATTAATGAGACAGGGCAGGATAAGGGATTGAAGACATCAAAAGATAATGAAATACACACACTTGGGAGGATTCCAGAACTCTGCTTTCAGCAACTTTGCTGTGCACAGTTTGCCCTTTTAAACAGTCTTCCCAGCTGCAGCCAAGGAAGGGGATCAGGGCCCTTTCCTCCCCCATAAACCACACTACTCACGTTGCTCCCTTATCCGTTCCTCCCTGCGTGCCCTAGGATGAAGAGGGGGTGGACGTGGGTCTTCCTCTGAATGCCCAGCCGGCCTGTGCCCTTCCCCAGTTTCCTCCACAGCCACCGGAGCCACACTCCCACTCCCTGTCAGCTGTTCCACCTCTCCCTCGGAATCAGATTCCAACAGGGGCATGGCAAATTTAAGGCCATTGATGGCAAAGTAAAAAAGGCATCAACTTCGGTTCACAAAAGCTTTTCACAAAACCTGTGGGTCACAAAAGGGGTGACCAGGCTCATTGTGATTGTGGGAGCTTCTACACACCTCCATGAAGTCTTTTCTCTGGCTGGAAGCTTGAAGAGCTGCTGATAAGGTCCGGGCAGATTTTTGATCCCATCGCTGAAGTCCAAGCACCAAGCAGGAGCAGAAGAGGGATGATCAAAGAGAGGAGAAAAACAAGCCCAACCATCACTTGACAATGAGATGGATGGTATATAAATGTAATAAATAAAATAATAAAAAGATTGATTTACATTTCATGGTCCTGTTCTTGGATTGCTATTCTTTTTTCTGCATGGATCAGGGGAAATTCAACAGAACATTCCACCATGGTCAGAGTCATCACATTGTGGGACGAAATTGTACTGTTTCACTGATAACGTTTATTTGTTCACCAGCTCAATGGAGGAACATTTCCTCCAGTGAATTAAATATGTTCTTCGACCCATCCTGCTTTCAAAAATCCATTTATCAGTAAGCAAAGTTTCCATGGAGAGCTTTGACACTATTGGGTATCTGTGGGCTTCAAGGTTTAGTAACCATGATTTAGAGAACAGGGTTCTTTTGCTGGCTACTATGGCTATCTTTGGAGACAAGGTGACCTGATAGGCAAACCACAGGCAACTGAGCAGAGACTATTGGGGTTTCTTATCTTTATAGGGTCTCTGGTGTCCGCCTTCTGATGGGTCCTTAGTCAAAGACCAGCCCTCGTTAACCAAAATCAGCTCAGCCAATCAGAAGCCAGGGCAGCTGGTTATAAAGACAGGAACACCATCAGTTGCCAAAGGTCTGCCTATCTCAAGATGACAACCAAAGTTGCTGGTGAAACGTCATCAAATCTTGTTGTCTGGATCATGGTATAGACAAAAGAAGTTGCTAGCCATCAAAGCTTATGCCAGTAGAAGGTTTTGACACCCCTTGCTTGAAAGAATCCTTAAGGGATCTCCAAAGCTGTTCCTTTCCAGTCTCCGCAACTAGTCATGTAGCATTCTGGCTAGTTTGCAAGAAGGTTGGACTTGACCAACTTTGACTAACCTTTGACCAATGTTGATTAACCCTTGATTAACTTTTGACCAACCTTGACTAACCTTTGGCCAACCTTTGACTAACCTTTGACCAACCTTGACTAACCTTTGGCCAACCTTGACTAACCCTTGACCAACCTTTGAGTAACTTTTGACCAACCTTGACTATCCTTTGGCTAACCTTGAGTAACTTGACTTGACTAACCTTGCCTTCGTTGAGCTTCTTCCCAGGGTTGGTCTCTTCAGGGTGATAGAACCATTTCACTCGGACCACCATGTTATTTCCCCAGGATTCCCACATGCTCTGGATCCGGCCAATGTAGGGGAGGTTGGGCCTCCCCGCTGACAGAAAGACGGCACAGTCTCCGATGCGGATGATCTCCTTCCCGCGGACAATGGCCTTGTAGAAGAGTTTGCGGGCTTTCCCCTTCATCCCGCGTCTCTGTGGCGAGAAGAGCAGGGAGTTAGGAAATCTCGGGATTCCTCCACATTTTGACTTTTCACAGTCCGCTAAGCTGCAGACTAGCTGACCTGTGGCTTAGCTCGCTGGTTAAGTTACTACATACAGTCCATATGACCATAATGGAGCCCGACATTTCTGTTGCTGTGAGACATTTATTAAGTTGAGTTTTGCCCCATTTTTCCAACTATCCTTGCCAGAGTTGTTAAGTGAATAACCTGGTTGTTAAGTGAATCCAGTTTCCCCATGGATTTTGCTTGTCAGAAGGTGGCAAAGGAGAATCACATGACTTTAGGACACTGCAACTGTCATAAGTCCATGCCAGTTGCCCAGTGTCCACATTTTGATCATGTGATGCTACAAGGGTCATAAGTATGAAAAATGGTCGTAAGTCACTTTTTTTCTGTAACTTTGAACGGTCACTGAATGAACTGAATGACTGAATGACTGAATAAGTCAAGGACTACCTACACTTGTTGCTGGACTAAAGAAATTTCTCAGGCGCTTCCTGTTCCTTGGAGTTAACCATCTGTATCCAAACCTAGCGCTTCCAGGTGTGAGTGGACAATTTCCAGGCACCCAACCAGCGTGAATATTGGCTGAACGGAAGTGTCCACCTCAACCTAAGAGATCAGGGGTGGGCTGCTGGGGGGTTCACAGGGGTTCAGGAGAGCCCCTAGCTAGGATTCTGTGCAGTTTGAAGAACCCCCAAATCCACCCACCCCTCCTCTTCCAGGAGTCCCCAGGTGGCCTGTTTTGGATGCAGGTAAGTGCAGGGGGCGCATGGAGCCTCAAGGAGGATGAAAAATGGGCCTCCCAGAAGTTTTGGAAGGATGGAAATGGGCCCATTTCAGGCTTCCAGAAAACCTCCGGAGCCCGGGGAGGGCAAAAACACCCCCTTCCCTGCTGTGGTTCAGGAGGCCGACTAGGCCATGCTCACCATGGCCATGCCCAACCAGCAGTCAGGCAGAGAACCCTTGGCTAAATTGGTTGAAGCCCACCCCTGTAAGGGATCGTAGTGAAGGTCAATCCAAGATGGCGCTCTTACCTGGGTGGGGTTCCCAAACCACTTCCAAAGTTGTCGTGCAGGCAGGAAGGCAGCGATTTTGGGCCGGTTCTCCACCGAGGGCAGCCTTTGGCGTTTGGCTAGTTCTTTCGTGGTGGGCAAATGGATTCCTTCCCGTTTCTTGCTCTGGTTCTTGTTCCTGCTCGTTTGCTGCTTTTGCGCTGCCTGTTGCTGGGGTTGCTTCAGGTTTCGGGAATGTGAAGAGGACGGAGACTTCCCTGAGGCCTTGGTGGGCTTGGCTGGGATGGTGGGTTGCGCGGAAGAGGCGCTGGGTTGGGTGTCTGCCGCCTCGTCTTCGGAGCTGCAGGAAGAGTCTTCGTCGGTGGTGGAAGAGGAGGAGGAAGAGGAAGAGGAGCTGGAGCTGGAGGAGGAGGTGGAGGAGGAAGAAGAGGAGGAGGAGGAAGAGGAGGAAGAAGAAGAGGAGGAGGAGCTACTGCTGCTGGAGGAAGAAGAGGAGGAGGAGTTTGAGGAGGAAATTGGGGTGGAGGCTCTGGAACTGGTTGAGCTGCTATCTTGAGCGCCACCTCCGTTCTTCTCCGTTTCTTCTTCTCCTTCTGAATCCGAGCTGCTACCGCTACTTTCCGACTCGTCCCTCGCAGGGGCCACTTCGCCGCCATCTTCTTGAGCCTTAGAAGAAGGTGGAGGATCTCCAGCGTTCTCAAACTTGCCTCCAAAATTAGTAGGAGACTCTCCATCCGCAACCTTGCTCCGGGAAGATTTCTGCTTAGGGTTTGGACAAGCCATGGCAGTGTAGCTGAGCCCTAAGATGTTCTTGGCTTCTCTCCGGCTGGCCAGGTTTGACTCCCCCAACATCCTCATGGCCTCTTTGGTCTTCTTGGTCTTGGGAGACATGACCCCCTCATGGTCCAGCTTGATCAAGATCTCATTGTCTGGGATCTTCCGCTGAGCTTTGGCAGCAGACCCAAATTCTTGTCCCTCCTCCGTGGATTTTCCTTTCTTCGATTTGACCTTCCCCGAGGAACTACCGGAAGGGCCAAATGGTCCAGGGTAGGGTTCATTGTTCCCACGGACATTGCCGTACACCGGTGTCTGGAAAGTGGCAGGAACCGAGCTATGGAGCTTGGCAGAAATCTTCCCCTTGCTTGCTTTGCTGTGATGCTTGTCTTCTGCCGGAGCCGAAGGAGTCCTGGAAGGATCCATCGGGATCTTCGGTGAGTTTTTGGTAGCTTGTTTGCAAACTGGCAGTTCCGAGCCAAGAGAAGAGGTAGCCAGCATCTCCCCTGGGATGGTCTGATCTGCCAGAACGGATTCTTCTAGACACAGAAAGTACAAAATGTCAACCCTGAAGCTGGTCGGAGGGGTGCCACCTGGTTGTCAGCCCCGCACCGTGATTGGACCATGGGACTGATTGTTTTGAAAAAGTTTACTTTTAATTACTCGAAAACCGCGGGAAACTTCAGAGTCGGTTTTCACCAGATCAGTGCCAATATGATGCCGTATTTTACGGAGTATAAGATGCACCTTAATTTTGGGGTAGGAAAAGAGGGGGGTGGGAATTCTGCCTCTGCCTACCAGCATCCATCAGTATTCACCTGGCTAGCATCCTGTCAGTGTGTGAGAGAGTTGAGGGCTGTTTGGAAACTGAAGCAGTATTACCCCAATTAAATCATGAGTCTCAAGCTCAGACTTCAAAAGGATTTATTAGGAGTAAACATGCCAGTGCTACCTGGGGTGTAGCCAACTCTGAGACAACTCAATCATTATCACCCTTGACCCTGGTTTTCCCCCCACCCCTCTGGGTGTATCGTAATTCACATTCTCCAATGGGACCCATCCATAGCCCAGAGTCACCCGTCATGCTCTCCAGGTAGAATTTTGCACGGCAGAAACTTCAGTCCCCTGGTTACTCTCTTTGAAAAACTATGTATGGAATGCACTTTTGATTTCCAAGCTGCCACACTGCTCTTTCAAACCCCTTTCCCACCCTCCCTTTCTGTTGGCAACTCTAAAAAGACCGTAGAAATATTTTATGAGTTGACACTTATGACATAAAAACATTAAAATCACCCATCGTTAAAAAAACCCCACACGTTTGCAATTCTGTCTTTTTTTTTTTTTTAAAGAAGTAGGAAAGCTCCCAATGGCTTTGGGCTATTCTCCACACACACCCCGCCCCCCCCAAACAGAGATGGGTCAAGCCGTACCTGTTTTCTGCTTCTTATTGGGCTTCCTTCCCCGCCCTTTGCCTTTGGCTCCAGGTTCCTCCAATTCTGCCCCGTTGCCTTCGCCCAGGTCCTTACTGGATTTACGGCTGCGGCGTCTCATGCTGGGCACCAGGAGGGCAGGAGAAGGCTCAGCACCTGCGAAAGTCCGTGGCCGGTTTGAGTGGAGTGCTGAACATCCCACCCCCCCACTTCCCAAGAAGTGGATCTCCATATCCTGTTGGGTTCTCAGAAGTTGGCCTTCAAAAGGAAGGAAGGAAGGAGGGAAGGAAGGAAGGAAGGAAAAGGGAAGGAAGGAAGGGGAGGGAA